GCAAAGAATTTCTTATGGAATCATCAGAGATTCCTCAGAGTTGCAAGGGACTTTTAAAGGTCACCTATTCCAAGTCCCCTGCAACAAACAGGGACATGCACAGCATCGTCAGGCTGCCCAGGATCTGATCCAGCCAAGCGCAGGACCTTGCTCATGGTTTTGCTGAACTTCATGAGGTTGGCCTGGACTCATCCCTCGGGCCTGCCCAGTCCCCTCTGGATGGCATCCCTTCCCTCTGGCGTGTCAGCTGCGCCACTCAGCTTGGTGTCGTCTGCAAACTTGCTGAGGGCGTGCTCAATCCCACTGTCCGTGTCGCCTACAAGGATGTTAAAGGGCACCAGACCCAGCAGCGGTCTCTGAGGAACAGCCCTTGTCACCTGTCTCCTCTTGGGCACTGAGCCACTGACCGCTACTCTCTGAGAATGATTTTTGGGATACTTCTTGCATTTGTCTGTGTATTCTAGGCCTAGGAAACAAAGGGAGTTTTTATACTAATTGTTTAACTAGCCAGATATTCTGGCTCCTGATGGAGAATTTCTGTAGCAGTTAGAAGTATTCCGAAATAGCAGCTGGAATAGTATATGGTATCAATTTTTTATTGCCTCTTAAGGATAATGAAAGTGGAGGGGTGTCATTAGTGTACGCTGATCTAAAACATGTTGGGAAAGACTATAAAAGATATTGCAGAGGTGGAAGATGTCTTCTAAACAGGTATGGGTCCGTTTTGGAGTGTGGAGTGACTACACAGCTGGAAGTGGAATGCAACAGAATGTGTTATAGTAAGATATCTTCTGGTTTTATAAGGGTGGCTTTGATGCTCAAAAAGCTGGATGTTGTTAAAAGTACGTGAGTGCACCTGTGTATAATAAGAACATTAAAATGAAAGCTGAATTCAGAAAATATAATGTCTTCAATGGAAAGTGTGGGAAAACTCAGCCTGAAGGATGGGCATTGCTACTAGCAGTTGGTATTACAGATTTGAAGGCAGAGGTATTAGCTAGTCTATCACTATTAGAATGGTGCCAGTTTGCAGATGACAGCAACATAACGTATAAGGAAAGTAATTTAACTGTCGACAAGCTGATTAGTCTGATCTCATCAGTAAATAGAACCCTAGGAAAACTTCTAAAGAGAAACAGTTATTGAAGATTTATGATTAGAGTACATCACCTGGAAGACAGAATAAAATGCAGTGTATATTTACCAGCGGGTGTCAGCATAATTTGGTATCAATTATATAATAAAAATAAACATTTATGGACAGGAAAACAAGATGTACTTATCTCTTGGATTTTATGGAAGCAAGTGATATGGGAAATATGAAAAAAAAAAAAGCAGGATGAAGAACACAAATGTTTACTCTTACTTATGCAGGAATTTAATAGAGGGGAGAATGTCACTGCTTGGGCTGAAGCAGAAATGACAGGCCTATAAAAATATCTGTCAACCCTCTCCTGTACAATTTTTTAGATTCTTTAATATTTGTATTAATTTCATCTCTAGAGTAAAGAGGGCTACTGAATAAGTAACATTTTCAAATAGCATATTTAGCATCACTGAAGGAAGAACAATATGTGGAATATGTGAGGACAGAAAAAAGATGGACAAAGAATGATAGCATTCAATACCAAATGTAAAATCTATATTTTTTTACGGTTTCCATTCACCAGATGAGGTTGTCCTGATCTCCATCCCTCCTGTCTTTGGACACCTCCAGGGATGGAGCTTCTCTGGGCAGCCTGCACCAAGATTCCTCAAAACCTTCAGCATAAAAAATTCCCCTGTCATTTAATCTGATTTTCTCCTCTTTTAGTTTAAAGCCATTCCCACTTGTCCTTTCACCTTCTGCACAAATAAAAAGTCAGTCTCCCTCCTATTTGTAAGCTCCCTTCAAGTACTGGAAGGCCATAGTGGGATCTCACAGAATCACAGAATTGTAGAGGTTGGAAGGGACCTCCAGAGCTCATCGAGTCCAACCCCCTGCCAAAGCAGGTTCCCTACAGCAGGTCGCACAGGTCGGCATCCAGGCAGGTCTTGAACATCTCCAGAGAAGGAGACTCCACCACCTCCCTGGGCAGCCTGTTCCAGTGCTCCGTCACCTCACTGTAAAGAAGTTCTTGTGCACATTGGTGCAGTACTTCCTATGCTGCAGTTTCCGGCCGTTTCCCCTTGTCCTGTCTCCACTCACCACTGAAAAGAGTCCGGCCTCGCCATTCTGCCCCCACACCTTAGATATTTACAGACCTGGATCAGGTCCCCTCTCAGTCTTCTTTTCTCAAGGCTAAATAGACCCAGTTCACTCAGCCTTTCTTTGTATGTAGGAGAGGTCCACCCCTCTGATCATCCTTGTGGCCTCCTGTGGATTCACTTCAGCAGCTCCACATTTTACTTTTGCTGCAGTCAAGACCTGGATGCAGTAGTCCAGACAAGTGCAGAGTAGAGGGGGATAATAACCTCTCTTGCCCGCTGGCCATGCAGTCCAGGAGACAGAATTACTGATACAAACCTTGCACTTGTTAACTGCGATGAAGAAATAAGGAAGAACAACTAAAAAAAAAAATATATCAATGACTACCAATAAACACTATAGCATGGCCAGGAAGAAGTCAGATTTCAGTCAAAGTCTAAAGGATAAAGGATGTTTAGCAAGTAAGTAGAAATAGTACTACTAGCCTAACATCTTATCTGGAATGAAATCCTGGCTGGGCATACTCTCGATGTTTGAATACAGGCAACAAGTATTTAGATGAACAGATAAAATTAGTGGGCAATTGGAGGTTATACACTAGGGAAGGATCTGAAACAGTTTTTTCACTCTGATAGCTGTGAGGAGACACAATAGTATCTCATATTGTCTTAAAGTGAGTATCAAAGACTAAAAATAATTATTTGCAGGCAAAGAACTGTATTGGGAGAAGCATAAGACTATTCAGTGGTTGTAAGCAAGCATGTAGAAATTGGAAGAATGTTTCTCATGACAGAATGGGATCTAAAACTGCCAAGTAATAAGACTTGAAACCTAGCTTGTTTAAAAATAATAGCCAATGGGATGTCATAGGATGTTAAAAAAAAAGATAATAGGAGACGTTTCAGTTCACTGCCTCAAGAGATCCCTTTCTGTTCAGCGTACTTAAGATTACAGAACATTTTTCTGCACCTTTCGTCATTCCAAAGCATTGCAATGCATGCAGTCCAGGAAGAGTTTAGATCAGGATCTCTTGGATTTCACCTACTGAACATTACAGACCTTACTGTAATATCAAATACCCTTTGTTTTGAATGTGCAACATGTGTTCCACAGATTTTCCTGATTAGCAGCTTATTTCCAGGTGTAGATCAGTGTGCGTATTAATGAGCACTGGGCAGTGTGGAGTCTCAAGTCAGATTGTGATTCCACAATACAGAGAGGATTGAAATACAGTTTAGTAGTGAAATATCAAGTTCTGAACAGCTTAATTCCTTTTGGTCTGTGTTTCAGAGCATAAAATCAGCTGATGAGTAGTGCTCATAACAGAGTTTGATTTTAATGTAGCTTTCTTTGAAGGCAAGCACTCTTGAGGCTCAGAAAAGTTGAGCTTTCATGGATAGGGATAATAGCCCATCTTAAATTTTCTGCATCTGTAAACTATTTAATACTTACAGCCTGCATGGTACACACCCTGAAGGACTAGCACTAAGAAACATGTATGACTTGAAAATTGAACTAGAATAAACTGCTGGCTAAGTAAGTTTGAGAGACATAGATTAAGGAAAATTATTTGGTTTAATTATTTCCAACAATTTATTCTTCCAAAAATTTCAGATGAAATTTCCAAAATTTTAGAGATTAAAAATAAAAACGAAACAAAACCTGCATTCTACATGGAAAGACAAACAGCATATTTATCAGACATAGGTGGCAAATTTGAAGTTTACCCTGGGGAACATTCATGATCTCATAGTGGTGATATCTCTTCCTTTTGATATCTCTTCCTTTTGATGTACACATTATTTGACTTTCGTGTTGTGAGCTTCCTTAGGGTAAAAACAGCAATCTTTTATTCTTGATCTGACCTTGACAGCCTGTTTTAATAAGTGCTGAGTGCCTTTGACTTCTGTGACTTTCCAGGGAACTTCTAAACGTTCAGGTTTTCTTAGTATCTGCTCTAACTTGATAATTTATATTTACATAGAAGCTCAAATAAAACCGTCTGCCAGCTGTTGTGAGAAAGGAATCAAATTTGGGGGTGGGGAAGTTGTGCCATGTTTCTTAATTTTGCAGTATTAATTTCACCCTCAGTGAACATACAGATGAAGGCAGGAAAATTCCTGCTAGATCTGCATGTCCCTCCTGCATAAATCTCTGTGCTTTTCTTACACAGGATGGCCTTCAGTGACTGAAGCTGAGACTGAGAAAACAGCTGCATTGTACTGCAGACTCAAATCCTGCTACAGCTATAAGCTGTAGGATTCAAGCACGAACTAAGCAGGATTACACAGAAGGGCACTATATAATACTTGGTGTGAATTAAAGGTATGAAGAAAGACACATTTCTTTCTGGGTAAGCTACTTTTATTTTTCCTGATGTTTAAATTTCCCGGTTATGATCTCAGATGTGCTAAACCTTTTAAAAAAATAAACAGCAAAAATTTTCTATGAAGCATTGTACATGACAGTCTTCTTAAAATCAAGCATATTCCACAGAAATGTAAAGATATTTCAGCCCATTTGCAGGTATTACTTTAGGGTGCATGCTTTGTTTCCTTATCTTAAAGCAGGCTGTTCTTAACTCACTAGTTTTTCCAAGGTTGAGATTAAGTGCTATAAAACAGTGTAACTTACTTTTTTAAAAAAAAAAAACCTTTTCTTACGAGTAATACTAAACCAGAAAATAAAGGGTCTGGTCTGGTTAAAACAGTAGCAATATTTTAAAAACATGCAGCAAAATAAAAATAAAAGATCACTAAGCATATCATTCTGTCTCCCCAAGGCACAGGTATTTTCTAATGTATTTCCTTACCTTGGATGTGAATAATCCTCTCATGCTCTAGGCTTGAGTTGTCAGGATGAGGTTCTGCCCAGCAGACAGAAATCAGCACCAGAAAGAGTAGACTTGTCATCTTCATAGTCACAAGTATCTTGTTCACTGTATGGGCATCACATAACAGAAAGACTCGTCAATTTTTTGAGCCCTTTATGGAATTGCTCTGCACAACTTGTTACAGCAATGGTCTTTAAAGGGATCTGGAACATATTTTGCCCACTGAGATGAGGGTGTGACAGTAGGAAGAAATTCTTTAGGCATGAAGGTTGGACCTTGTTATCGTGGACTTCCATTAATTGAAACTTGCAATAGAAAAAGCTATGCAAAAATGCAGCATGAAAGAATAAAAGCATTTACACACAGCCATAATACAAATTCCTTGCAAGACCCTATGTAAGCTACAGCAGTGTTTCAAAAAACATCCTAGTGCACTTTTGCATTTCCAGACCCACTCCAGATCTGGTCAACAAATACAGTAAAAACAACTAGAGCCGTCATTAAGTCTGTATTTGTGGTATTATGCAAGCTGCTGGTGAAAGGTTTTTAAGGCAAAAAACATCTCCTTGTTGGTTCTGGCATTTCAGACAAGGCTGCAAGTTAACTTAGCAGAAAGGGTGGCAAGTTTGCTTAAGCCAAGCAATAAAAATGGCAGATTATTTCTGCAGCTGATTAGAAAGGTCTATTTTATTCTGAATCCACTTACCACGTTAAGAGATGACTAAAAACACAACAAAACCATGCACAAAGTAGGTTACAGTTGTATATGCTACCACTGCAGCTGCCCTGATTGATTTTTCATTCATTTCTACCTAGAATGCTGACGCACTAACTCAGTGTGCCAGGTAGGGTCTCTGCAGTCAGCAGAGCTGAGCGCTGCAGGGAAATTCTCTGCCAGGCTCTGAGTAGTAATTAGGCAAATGAAGACCTGAAATAGAAAAGGAGGCATAAAATACTAGAAGTTTTATATAGAGGGCTCAGGCTTATCTGTGTTTTATACCTATAATTTTAATTACCCTGTTTCTTGAAATAAAAGATAGTTATTTCCCAACTTCACTTTTCAAGACTAGGATTTTTTTTTCAGTCTTCAACTAGGGACAGCATTATTCATAGGCTTTCTGTCTAGTGCAGGAAGAAGTGTAATCTTTTTTTCCTGTGTCTTTCTCAGAGCTAGAAACACATCAGAGCTGCAGGGTGCTCTTGGTCAGAACCTGGGTCACTAGCTGAGCTTTCCAAGCAGCCCCTGTCTCTAAGCAGACTCAGGCACCTATATACCTCAAATCTAGATATCAGAACTATCAACAAAAATACAGAAATGCTATTGCCTTCTTTCATAGCAGCACATGCATGTTACTTGCCTGCCCTTCCATTCCTCCAAGCGAGTTCAGGTGAGAGCTCAAAACCTGTTCAGCATCCCTCACTGCAGACTGCCCAAAGGTAGGACAAGTGACAGCTGCATGCTGCTTTCCAGGTGGTCCACGCTCTGTGACTCCACGCTCTGTGGCCACTCCCTCTTTCCTGGAAAGCCTGGCAGCCTGATGACCTCCATTTCGGAGAGCAAGGGCAGATGTGGCTCCCCCTAGAGCACATCAGCCTGAGCCTGAGAAGACTAGGGGGGTCACATGCGGAAAGTGGAGTGAAAATGCACTGTTCTTTCCTTATTCCCAGAAATAAATATCCGAGGCATATTTACTCTGAGAGGGAAAAATGCTGCCTGTCTGGAGTATTTTTATCTACTTATTTTTGGCTGCTAGCAAACAACAGACAATTCTCATTGGTTGAGAGTTTTGTTGATTTAGAAAGTCTGGATAACAATGGGGCTTTGATTTTAAAGATCCCACGCAAAGCCCGTGGGGGTGTACCCACCACAATCTGTGCCTTGGAGATGCAAAAGCTATGAGACTCCTCAGGGGCTCCGCAGACCTGCTCGTGAGTATCTCAACCACTCGTCATTAGAGCTTTGCACAAACCTCCTGACACAAACCTGCTCTTTTCTCTGTCACCGGTGAAACAAAACAGCTGCATTAGCCAGACGACTACGAGCACTACTCCACTGGGAGACAGCATTCCCATCTCCCCCAGTCTGTGCAAGCACAGGGACTAGAGTTCAGTGTTGGAACAAAGAAGCTTTACCTTCTGAGTACACAAGCGGAGCACCCCACACACGGCCTTCCTCCTTTGTCAAGGTCACATTAATGTCATGGAGAAAAATCCTCCCCTTAGCAACTATTTCTGTGGGGCGATGGCCATCAGAAGAAGAGTGTTATGCACTGAGCTGCCATGCACAAAGATGTTTCAGAGATATTTGATTTCCTTCAAATAGAGGCAAACTTTACTCTGTGCTCACCAATTCTGTAACCATGTCATACAAGCAGGATGAAAGGTAAACTGATAATGGATTGATTCATTCTTTATTTTCTTCAATTTATGGATATAGATCATAGAATCATAGAATAGCTTGGTTTACAAAAAACGTTAAAGTTCATCAAGTCCAACCACAACCTAACCATACCACCCTAACTCTAACAACCCTCCACTAAATCATGTCCCTGAGCACCACATCCAAACGGTTTTAAAACACATTCAGGGATGGTGACTCAGCCACCTCCCTCAGGTGCTTAACAACCAGTGCTTAACAACCCTTTCTGTAAGGAAGTTTTTCCTGATATCCAACCTAAACCTCCCCGGCACAAGTTGAGGCCATTTCCCCTCATCCTGCCACCTGTCACCAGTGAGAAGAGACCAGCCTGCTCTCGCTGTAAGCACCTTTCGGCTATTAGAAGAGAGCAATAAGGTCTCCTTTCAGCCTCCTCTTCCCCAGACTACACAGCCCAGTTCCTTCAGTCTCTCCTTGTAGGGCATATTCTGCAGGCCCTTCACAAGCCTTGTTGCCCTTCTTTAGACCTGCTCCAGCCATGGATATGGTGCAAGATCAACTTCTGGTTAGAGGTAGGCACATTTTTTGGAGGGATATACCTAAAATGTTAGTACCTTAGCTATTTGAATAGATAAAAGTTTACAGCGGCTGCGCTTCTGCTTCTCACCAACACTTAAGACAAAAATGGCAACCTGAAGTGTTCACTGAATGTGCAGAAGCACATACAAAGCCAATATGCACACAATTTCTTTGACTTTGGTCAGGCTGATCTGCACTGCTCACATATGTCTCTCTTGAAATGATGGAACAGAGTCATACAAGCACAGAATAGTTGAGTTAGAAGGAACCTTAAGGCCTGCCCAGTTCCATTCCCCCCTGACGCTGGCTAGTTGCTGCCTGTCAGATCAGGCTGCCCAGGGACCCATCCAATCTGGCCCTGAGCACCTCAGGGATGGGATGTCCACAGCTTCACTGGGCAGCTCATGCCAGGGCTTCACTGCCCTCTCTCTAAAGAATTTCTTCTTTATATCTAATCTAAATCCCCATTACATTTTTTTTTAATTAGTTTAAAACCATCCTCGTCCTGTCACCACCAAATCATGTCAAAAGTTGGTCTTCGTCTTTTGTCTGAATTGTCTCAGAGTGCAAAAAAACCCCAAAACAGCCAGACCTGCAAGACTGCATAATGAGTGAGCAAATGCTCAGCTCATCTTTTGGAAGATGTATCCATTGCGTATCTCCACTTCAGACACCCAACAATCTGTACTTGCTGATCACGGGCGAACACACTTCTAGCTGGGCAGGATTCTCCGTAGCGCTGAATTCCATTAAGCATGGCAGCCCCTTCTTTGCCACGTGCAATGGGTGCCTGCAGTCAGGAACATGCTGCTTCATGACAGTGTCCTCATGTGATGGCAGCTGTGGCACGGAGCCAGCACGGTACACAACGACATCACCAGGTAAGGCGTACGGCCCCTGGATTGGGTACGTTACCCAAAAATTCACAGAGGAAATCTTCATCCTCAGCTACAGGCAAAATAATAGCAGTCAGATTCAATTTCAGCCTAAGAAGACCCCGGGGGAAAATGATAGGTGTGGACAAATGCTTTTGCATTTGTCACGGGGTTATCCTCAGATATCAGTCCGTGACAGGGGGCACCGGCCCCGGGAAGAAGAGAGAGAAAAAACCGCTTACCAACGGGTTGCCGCGATCCGGCCGGCCCCGGGCCACGTGCGCTCCGGGAGAGGGGGAAGGGCAGAGAGCTGGCCGATAGTTTTAGCGAAGAGAAAACACAGCGGCAACGGTCTGAGGAGGAACGGTAATTTACTGAGTCTAACTAAAACAAAACGACAGAGACGAGAATGGTCAAAATGCCAGTCAAGCCACGGCACTGCGAGCGAGAGCACTGCTCTTCTCCGCGGCGAACTGAGATGGCCGAGCCGGGGCCAGAGGGAGAGACGCTCGGGTCCTGTCCGGAGCTCCCACCCAGCGCCTCTTCCCGCCAGGTCCTCAGCGGATGCCGCCTTCTCACCTCCCATCAGATACTCAGAGTCCGCAAAAGACAGTAAATGGAACCAGAACATCGTTAACTCCTACTGGTCAACGTGATGTTCTGATGTGGAATGCTGACAACAAAAAATCACAAAACTGCAACAGCATTGAAATTAATGAAATCTTGGCTGGCAGTCAGTGAGTTATCAGTAAAAACTGGTAATGATTAGTCATATTCAAGAAGTTTTCAACGGTTTCAATTACTGCATGTTATAGAATTAGCTGTCTCCCTAAACAGGGATACAAAGAGATTGCAAGTAGTTTATAAGAGAGGATCTGAAGGCTCGGGTAAGTAGTCAGCTTTAAATTTCTCTAAACCTGTTCATTCTTAGACACAATTTAAAACTCTGATATTAACCACCATTTTGTTATACTTAACCATAATTCATCAATCACTGGAAAATTAAAAGCTGATAAAGCACTTATATTTATATTTTAATATAATATTCTGCAAATCAAAAAGATGCCTTCAGAAAGCATCTCACTGAAGAACAGCAACAAATGCAGACTATGTCACGTACCAATTTCATTTTTTAATAAAAAAACTTCTTCCTTCTTTACTACTGCAGCTGCTTTCAAGATAGTTTTCTAACATTGGAGCATCCACTGTGTGAGGCTAAAGGTTCACTTCACTCACTGTGCCACAAGAAGCGTGCTGCAGCAACATGTTCTGCT